CAAGAATCTGATACGCATCTATATAACTACTTATCTCTACCCTCTTTTCTGGTCCATCTCTTTACCTACGTTTAACAGAAACATAAACAACCAACTAATTTCTCACTGAATACATAGCAAATTGATGTTAAGAGTTACGAGCCCAAGGCTTACCACAACAAGTTCGCAATTTTTCTGGTGAGGATGGTGAAAGGTTTTCTGAGTGGATCAGGGATATTGAAAAGGCAGGAGTTTTCGGTTAGTGCCAATGATTCAAGGTTAGTTGGACTCGCCCTACAGACTTCTACAGGGTTAGCAGGCAATTTCGTATTACGACATATTAAAGCAAATTTCTTGGCGTGATTTAAAGGCTATTTTGTCGGCTAGATTTAGTGACAATTCTGACCAGCGCAGGGCCAAGCAGAGTCATGGTGAATCGGTGCAGGCATTTGGTGATAAGTTAATTAATTTGGCAGAGGATGCTTATAATTCAGAGGATATTGCACACCTTTTATTCAGTCGCATTTGGTTGACGTTTTTGTATATGGGTTAATAAGGACAGTGTGGCTCAAAGGATAATTCGCAATCGTCCCGAAACATTTGATGCTGCTTTGTGGACGGCCTCCTTTGAACAACAAGTCTCCCGCACATGAAACAATTAAACAGTTTCGGGCCTTAAACGACAACTTAGTCAAAATTTTAAACACAGAATATGAACAATTGCGCACAAAATTTTTCAAACTTGAAACCCATTTTAATAACTTCAAGTCACCACCTCCTCTAAACCTAGTCGTTCTAAACGTAGCTTGTTGCCCCTTGGTGCAGTTCTTTCTCTTTGGTACAGTTAGCGAAGACACAGTAGACAAAATTAGAGACAAGGTTGATTCGTTACAGTTGTCACAACAAAAAATTGTACATGTTATCGAAAACGGCTTAACCATCTTAAATACTACAGTCAAGAATGTTGCATTGAATAGGCACTCTATTAATCTTTTAGTCAACTCCACTAATACTTTATCTCAATGGATCTCCCAACTAAATTCAAATATTCGAGACGGCTTAGAACCTCAAATTCATTTTGTTGAGCTTTCCCAACAGTTTTCGGGTGTGTTTCATATTCTTCATTCCACGTTCCCCGATGTTCATCAGTCTGTTTTAGATTTGCATTGTCAGATTATGGAAGCCATTCAGGGTCACAGGGTCTGCTCAATTGTTTTTGGCCGTGGAAGAGTGGAAGAAGTGCAGCAGCAAATTCCTACTTCCTCAGAACTTCCCTTTCCCTTGATCAAACATAACCTCCGCAAATATTTCTCTCTCCTCCGCGTCACCTTAGTACCCAGCCAACATTCTTTTAATATCATAATTCTCATTCCCCTTGTCCAAAAATCCCCAATCTTTGAATTATATCACATTGTCCACGTTCCGTCTCGCATCAATCATAATACTTCTGTAACATATGATTTTGCTATTTCCCCTGACCGAAACGTTTACATGCTTCTCCATGACCATGAGGTCACCTTTTGCAAACAGTCCGCTTTCTCATTTTGCACTTTTGATAAGCCCGTAATGTCTACGAATTTTGCTCCTTCATGTATTCCGTATCTTTTTTGCATAGTGGAAAATTAGTGCGTCACACTTGTAATGTTATCTTTTCACACACCCCACCTTATCCCATAGTTAAATCTCTCACCAAACGAAATTGTGGACCTGTTCACAAACATCCCCAGAAATCATGCCATCACTATTCTTCGTGATCGAATTTTGAACTTAACAGACCCACTGGATACCAAACTCTCGATTGACAGCATAACCAATCTTCTTCTAAAATGCATTGAATCAACCATTTTTCAGTTGGGGTGACAACCTGTATGAACAGGTGCATGGTCTACCTATGGGAAGCCCTCTCTCCCCCCTCATCACTGAAGTCTATATGACTTACTTTGAAGAAGAAGCCCTCCACACCTATTAAACCGATTTGCTGGTTCAGAAAGGTACCACAGCACAGCAACTACTTCATCACCTCAATAGCAAAGAGAATAGGATCAAATTTACAATTGAACTAGAATCCAACAATCAGCTACCATTTCTTGACGTTCTAATTAACAAAGATGGGAACTCATTACATACTAGCGTATATCGAAAACCAACACACACGGATCAGTACATCCACTTCAACTCTAACCATCCTAACCAAGTTAAGAAAGGCATAGTATCAACACTCACTAGACGTGCGATGAACATCTGCGATTCTCAACTTATTGACAGTGAACTCAACCACCTGCAGAATGTCTTCACCAACCTCAATGGCTATCCCGAAACCCGGCAGAACAATAATACTCCGAAAGTCACCAAACCCCCTTCACTAACAACTCGTATCACCATCCCATTTCTTGGCAAAGTATCCTATCAAATAAGAAGACTGATCAAACAAACCGTAGGAATAGAAACAACCTTTTCTTCTGGACCAACAATCAAGGACATCCTTCATGCAAATGGAAAACTGGCACCCACAATACCTCTGGCACCAAAAGGATGTGTCTACAAAATCACGTGGTCCTGCAATGAAGAATATGTTGGAGAAACAAGACGCCCTCTCAATCTCAGAACGCAAGAACAGCTATCCCTAGCACCTACCCAAACATCCGCAGTTTCTGAACACATCAAAAACAACCGACGACACAAAATTGGCAATATCGAAGCCCTCACTAAACACCAAACCAACAAGAAAACGAGACAATTGACCGAAGCCATTCACATAAGGAGATACCAACCAAAAATTAAAAGGGATACAGGTGTTTATTTATCACATGCCTATGACCCTTTAATTAAATAACCCCACCCTAAATTTTGTATTTAGATTGTCACCGGTATTTTACTAGTCAAGTTTTTTATGTTTTATTTATCATCACATTGTTTGATTATAATCACTACCACCCTACCATTATAATCAAGAAGTAATTACTACATCCCTTTAATGGTTTCTCTAATCACACACCCTTGTGATTACCTCCACATAATTGATTAATGTATTCCTATTGTTTTAATCCTTGTCATTGTTGCCTCACACTATACATTCTGAATGCCTTGTTATTTTGTATCATTGCTTGATAATGACGAAAGAATCATCGTCGAAACTTCGCAAGTTATTTATTAAAGTAATTGTTATCCATATAATTGTGTCCGTGTTAATATCATCAATTACTAAATGCCACTCAAGGAAGTTCGTTGGATCTTGTTTGCTTTGACCCGTCAAAACATTTGATGAATAATATACCTATTACCCAGGGAGTTAATATTATAAACATGCCAGTCGGTTGCTCTTCCCGCTTTTTCCATACCTCATTATCTACAAGCAGAAAGTCGCTATCAAATTCGCCAATCTAATTACAAGTTACTGGATCTCTCCCAATATTTGTTCAATTTAACTCTTAAACAATTTCCCAATTCCACCACTCATTCTGGAAAAACCTTACTCAAGACCCTTCCTAAATTCACCATCTTAGAGTCTACACCATTTACTTTCAGAAATTCAGGACATCAAGTATTCCAATCCCACGATAATCCCTTCATTGGCTATATTACTTTCTCGTCTCTCTTATCACCTTGCTCGTCCTCTTATTCTCTTCCTATTTTTCTATAATAAATGTATCAGACCTCGACGGACATTGAAAAATCTAAAACGGCAAATAGTGCAGTCATCAAATACCACTCAATTGGCAACAACTTATTCGGCAGTATTACCAGTTCCAAAGAAACGCCAGAAAGCTTCCCCGGAAGATATTCCACACAGATTACCTCAACGCAATCCCGTTTCCGAACCTGAAGACGACGACCATTACCCGCACCATTGAATTGATCGCCTAATCTACCACATACCGTCCTCCAGCGAACCTATCAAGATTTCCAGAAGATACCTACCAATGCTCACGTGTGTGTTATTTTGGAAATAAGTGTTGATCCGTCATCAACATGTGTGCCTCCGGCTGTGTTTGTTTTTTGGAAATAGGTGATGATCTCTATCATCAGGTGTGTCAACGTTATTCCTGGAAATAGGTGGTGATACCATATCATCATGTGTGAAATAATTTTTTTTTCATCGTTAAGACATTTCCGGAAGGACAACCATTTTTTAAACAAAATTTTTTTCGATCTGCATGGGCATGTTCCTTGATTTCTACGTCAGTAATTCTTCCTTGTTTGACATATTATTTGCTTTGTTTTTATTTTGTTTGTTATCCTTTTCATTTTTTTGTGGTTTATTATATTTTTTTTATTTATTTTATTTTTTTTTTATTTTTTTTTTGCTTTTATTTTTTTTTTGGGTTGTTCAAGAAAATCATAATTATGTATTTTCTAGATTAATATATGTTATATTGCTAATCTACATTAGTCCAGAAGTAAACTATACGGAATCACGTCGGTAACCTTCAACATGTAATAGTCTAATAGGGGTAATCACGGGTGGTAACCTTTAATCTGTAATCTTTAACACTTTTGAATTAACATCGGTGTGGTGTTTACGTAAGTAATTAGAAACAGATGATAGTATACAAAGGAGACATATCCCATGTCGGCAGGGAAGGAGACACTGAGAGATTAAGAAACTATAGGGGTATAGAAAAGGAATCGGTCAGACATGGCAATTAGGTTAAGGAACAGCAAGGGATCTTTTGACAAAAGAAACATTTCATATGTTGGCCATCTGGGGGGAGAAATAAATAGGAGTGTAGTTAGGGTTTGGGGTATTCATTCTTTACCCGGAGAGAGGATCGGATCGTTCTAATATTCTAAGAGTCTTGGGTATACTTCTTGGATTAGTGTAGATCTCCAGTTATTGAATGTAAATAAAGTGTTGTTAATATCATAGCTGTTATCTCATTTGGAAAGTAAGTTATGCAAATAACGTACAATTTGTATTTCAAAACATATTTTATGCCTCTTACAGCACTTGGGTGCTCAATTTCCACTTTGATTTGGTTCCATTTGAAAAGCAAATTAAGGAATTGCAAGATTCTATCGACGTTTTTAAGCAATTTATTGCTGCTTTAACAACACCCGATGTACAAAATCAGAAATTACTTCGTTTTACTACCCGTAATAATAATTTGCAAGAGATATTGTCCACTGAATATACTCAGCTCAACACCCATTTTGATAAGTTGAAAAATGCTTTTAAAAATTTCAAATTTCAAGTCACGACAACTTCAAAACCACGTCGTTCAAAACGAAGTTTACTCCCATTAGGTGGAATTGCCACTGTCAAAGAAGTGTTTAGTTGATTCCCAAATAAATGACATGTTAAAAGCTGGTGTTATCAGACCCAGTTCCAGCGAATATTCATCACCGATAGTGCTCATATCCTAAGCCCGACAACGCCGCTTCTGCATTGATTATCGGAAATTCAAAAAATCAGCTTACAAAAAATTCTTATCCTCTTCCTAACATGAATGATTTGATTTCTTCTTTAGGGGACTGTAATTATTTCACGTGCCTAGATTTGAAAAGTAGCTATTGGCAATTGAAATTGATGAAGATTCTAAGCATAAAACGGCATAGTCAAGGAGATCCTACCCAGCCAGATAAAAGGACATAAGTTAGAGGACGTCTTTGAGGTAAAGGTCATCCATACGCTCTTATAAATACAGATTGTTTCCGGGTAACTCGATTTTATGAATAATTTCTTAGTTAAGTATTAAGGACATATTAGTTTACCTGTGTTTTGTGATCGTGTATATAAACTGCATTTTAAAAGTGAATTGGTTTTTCCTTCCTCTTCCATCGCTTAGAATATCCCTTGGGGAAGAGACTCCTGAAATAGAATTAAGGAGGGGAGAAGACTGACTAAATATGTCCGCTGTAATTGCTCGAGTAAATGTGACACAAAAAGCTGATGCTCCTGTCTGTAAGTAGTCAGATGTTGCGTGTACACACCTATGTTGGTTATACAAAGTGTGATAATACTCTCAATAATCCAGAGCATGGTGTAATATTGCTAATCGTTGTGTAATCTAGTAACTAGATGTAATTGATAATTCCCTAGAACACAATACCACATTGTCCAGTGACACTAATGGTCACTCTATCTAACCTGCCACATCGGTCAGCCTAAGGCAATATGATTAGTTCCTATTGTACAGCCTATCCTCTTTTACTGATTACGTAACTTGGACACAATGGCCATTTATCAATGGTACAAGCCAACAAAGGCCCCTGTATCTTCTGAGTGTTGATAAGGGATTATTGCCTTTTGTTTGGGTAAAGAGGGGACTGTTGGACACGTCTTTTGTCGGTAGGTGACAAAGGAGGGCTGGGTATAAAGGGGGTTAGGAATTCAGCATTCAGGGAGACCTAGGAAGGAGACAGACGAGCCAGTAGTCGATTATACATCCAGTATTAGTGAACCTTTATAGTATAGGTTCCAGAGGAAATACTCCAAGTAACATGTGTTCTAGGGAATCAGATTGACATTACTTTTGTTTATACCTTTATCCAGTGTATATGTATATTGCTACAACCTATATTAAAGTGCATATTGTGGAAGTGTTTAGTCTATATTCCTACATCATAAGATAAAGGCGGAGAGCATCGGGAAAGGATCTCTCCTAGCTTACAACTCCAGAAACCCCATTACAATTGGAGCCGTGACGCAGTCGTTCCTGCTCAATCTAAAAAAAAACTACAGAGGTCGTCACAAGACACAACAAGAAGTCTTAGCACAACAAAAGAAGACGAAAACAGTAATATCCACGGAAGTCATCAAGAAGTCCAACAGCAACAAATTGGACAACAGAAGAAGAAAACTGTAATATCCACGGAAGTCATCAAGAAGTCCAACCACAACATACTTGACGAAAGAAGAGGAAAGCAGTTACCAACGCCACCGCAGAACCACCCCAAGATATCAACGCACAGAACACAGAAACCAGTGAAGCTACAACTTTGACAGTTCGGTGAGTGTATTCACTTTTTGTTGGATTATATGGTTTGCCAACAATAACAAAACCACATCGTTTATACACAAACTTTTGCTTAAGTAAGATAACATTTTTGCTGTTTTTTTATGACTATATGTTTAATTCGGTTTGTTGTATAGTATCAATAGATTGTCCCTAACCCTTTAATTTAGTTCAAAAATAAGGTTTATCTTTTCCGTTTTTCTCATTCCATTAGTAACCTTCGCTTTGACCCCTTATATTTACAACTTTTCATATTTAAATCTGTATTGGAAATTATGGACCCAAAGGTAGCTTTAAGAGTTTTGTCTGAAAATTTCAATTAATTGCAACTTGAGTTAAGAGCACAAGGTCTCCCCCAACAAATTCGTAGTTTTTCTGGCGAGGGTGGAAAGCGTTTCTCAGACTGGATACGGGATGTCGAAAAAGCAGGAGTTTTAGTCAGTGCTAATGATTCTAGGCTTATCAGTTAAGCTCTTCAGACCTGCACCGGCGTAGCTGGAAATTTCGCCTTACGATACATTAAGAGCAATCCTGACGCGACTCGGCGTGCTTTTAAAGATATTCTGGTTGCACGTTTCAGTGACACGTCTTGCCAACAGTTTGCATTACAGAAACTTCGCCGTTGTAAGCAAACGCGTAGTGAGTCGGTCCTAGCATTTGGCGATAAAATTATGACATTGGCAGAGGACGCATATCGCCCTGGTGAGTTGGTCAACCCATTTGTACAATCCCAGTTAGTGGACATCTTTATGGACGGTTTAGTCGAAGATCATGTCGCTAAGAAATTAATTCGCAACAAGCCCAATACCTTCGACGAGGCTATGCGCATTGCCGCTTTTGAGCAACAAGTTACAAGAACTTTTGAAATACACAGATCAGGGGACGAAACCCCTATGGAAGTGGATTCAGTCACCCAGGCTACTGATCCTATGCGACACTTATCTAACAAGTTGGATGAAATATTAATGTTAACCAAATCTTCAACTTCTGACCATTCGTCCAATCAGGCACGCCCTCGTTCTTCAAATTTTGAGTATTCAACCAATCAGTATAATCCACATCAGCATAACTCACAAGACAATCGCCATTTCCAGCCCAAGGGACATTCTCGTCATTTTTCGACTCAAGGTTCCAGCCAATCATATTCATCCTCAAGGCCTTTAGATCGGCCCAGATATCAGTACACACCAGATGGCAGACCGATTTGTTTTTCTTGTAACACCCCAGGTCACACTAGACGTCATTGTCGCCGGGTACAACATCAGTCAAAAAACTAGTAAAGCCCAGGGGCGTCAGAGTAACTGAAACGACAAACCTGGGATTGAAAACTAATAAGATTGGAAATACTTATTGTAAACTAAATATTAGTGACAATTATATCTATGCACTTAATGATTCTGGCGCCGAGGGATCAGCCTTGGATTTTAGCGTCTTTCAACAACTTTCTAAATCTTCAATTTCTAACTTTATTACTGATCCATCTAAGTAACCAAGAATGGTAGGTGTCACTGGTACAGCTCTTGAAGTGAAAGGTCGTTGTTCTCTTCGTTTCAAATTCGGAAAAACTTCTGTCCAATTTGATTTTCACATCATTTCTAACCTAGGTAAAGACATGATTTTAGGAAATGATTTCTTTCAGACGTTCGGTATCATCTTAGATTTTAATTCGCATACATTACGATTTGGATCTGAAATTATTCCATTGTATTCAAAGACACCTCATGGTCCTTTTACCAAAGTTCAATTCACACATGCTCGTACCTCTAATCATATTTCTCCGTGTTCAGTTAACGTGGTGGAGATTAAAATTCCTCCTCACGTGAAAAACAAATGTGTTCTCATTTCACCTTTAGATAATTGTAAATTTTTTCATGACCAACCAGGACTACTTATGACAAGTAGTATTCATCAGCCTACATCAACTAGTATTTATGTTAACGTTATTAATGAAACAGGTTCTTCATTTCGGATTAAACATAGAGAGGTGTTAGCAGTGGCTGAAGTTATATCGCCCGAAGCAACACATACCGATCAAACTTTTCAATTGTGTTCTGTTCAACACACACCCGCAAACAATGCATTTTCTTCAGTGTTTGATTTCAAATCATTGGACCATAGAGAACCCGGTCAGCGGTATCGACTTATTGCATTGTTGAAACAACATGGCAATATCTTCGCAGTTGATGATCTGTCCTTAGGCAAAACAGATGTTGTTAAAGCCACCTTAGATACAGGCGCTAATCCTCCAGTTCGCTTAAAGCCTTATAAGCCTGTCTCAAAAAAGTTTGGTAGATTCTCAAATTAATGTTATCGGCTGGTGTTATTAGACCTAGCTCTAGTCAGTATTCGTTTCCGATAGTTCTTATTCCAAAGCCGGATAAAACTTATCGATTCTGTATTGATTATCGGAAATTGAACAACCAACTCACAAAAAATTCCTATCCACTTCCAAACATGGACGATTTAATCTCTTCATTTGGCGACTCCAAATATTTTACATGTCTTGATTTAAAGAGGGATGCTGGCAAATAGAAATTGATGAAGTTTCCAAGCATAAGACTGCATTTACATGTTATAAGGGACTTTATGAATTTAACCGACTTCCCTTTGGTTTAGCATCGGCTCCAGGAATCTTTCAGAGTACAATGGATAAAGTGATGAACGGCATTCTCACAAAGTTCGTCAAGGTCTTTATTGATGACATAATTATCCATTCCCGTACATTTGAGGAACATTTGCAGCATATAGCTGAAGTCTTTGATCGTCTTCAAAAAGCAGGACTAAAGCTGAAACCATCGAAATGTACCTTCCTTAAGCCGGAAGTCAAATATTTAGGTCATATCATTTCAAAACATGGCATCCGTCCTAATCCAGAGTTAGTGCCATTCAAGACATGTTACCTCCGAAAAACGTGAAGCAAATACGCTCCTTCATAGGGATGGCTTCTTACTATCGCAAATTCATCCCCAATTTTTCGGAAATATCTCACCCACTTATTGCCCTTACAAAAAAGAATGCCCATTTTGAATGGAATTCAAAAACGGAGACAGCATTCAAATTTCTTAAGGAATCTCTTATGTCGGCACCTATTTTAGCATATCCCGACTCGTCAAAACCGTATAATCTTTATACTGATGCATCGCAATACGCAGTTGGTGGCGTTTTGACTCAAGTTTTCCCTGAGGGCGAACGTGTGATTCAGTATGTCTCACACCAGTTAAATTCAGCTCAATTAAATTATCCAACGATAGAACGTGAAGGACTAGCTATTATTTATTGCCTCAATAAGCTACGTCATTATTTAGTTGGCGCTGATTTCACAATTTTCACGGATCATAAACCCCTCAAGTCCTTGTTTACAGCTGAAAATAAAAATCCTCACATTCAGCGTTGGAGTATCATGTTGAAAGAAATGCAATGTACCATTCATTACACCCCTCTGCCAGGCAGACTTCTTATCTCGGATTCGAACCAGAGGTCAGGTAGACTTTGATGAAAAAGAACTGATGGTTATCGATACCGACGACCCTTTGCATGACGCATCACCGTCGGATTTTGCTTCTGAGGACCCGCAGTATGACTCGGAAGACGAGCATGAGTCGCAATTAGCTCGATTAAACCTGACATTTCCACGTAAACTCCAACGTGCAGATCCAGAGATTACCAAATTAAGACAAGCGTTGGAATCGAATAACAACGAGAAAGGTACCGATAACTATGTTCTCTTATCGGGTGTTGTCTACCACATCTCAAAAATGGTCCAAAACGATAAGACACAGCGTTTACAGTGAGTCATCCCATCGTCATTCCAATCAGTTATTCTTAAAGATTTTCATGATTCCCCTTTTGGAGCCCACACAGGAATCGATAAATTAAATGACAAAATTCGAACACGTTATTTCTGGAAAAACATGTATAAAGATGTGGTGAATTATGTCCAAAATTGCGTACTATGCAATACGCGAAAATTAAGGAAGCAGCGTGCTGAAGTGCAGGACATGCCACAGCCAGAATATCCTTTTGAAATCATCGGAATCGATCATGTAAGCCCTTTTCCTTTATCTGATGGTGGAAATAAGTACATCTTATCTAAAGTCGATCATTTCAGTTCATGGGTGGAACTTTTTGCATTGCCAAACAAAACCACTGACCTCGTGGCTAAGACTCTTCTTAACGAAATTATTCCACGGTTTGGATGTCCAAAACTCATCATTAGTGACAGAGGTATGGAATACAATTCTGATGTTTTAAAACAATTAACCACTCAGCTTAATATCAATCATATCAAAACGAGTAGTTATCACCCTGCATCAAACGGTAAAACAGAAAATATCCACGGTTTTCTCAACAATAGTTTAGCAAAATTGATTCGGGACGATCGGAGAGATTGGGATGAGTACCTTCCAGCCATTTGTATGGCGTATCGTTCCTCTGTTCATGGTAGTGCAAAACACTCCCCCTTCTTCATTAACTACGGTCGAGATATCTGTTTACCCATGGACACACTTTGAGGTCCTAAAATGAAATACTTCGGTGAGGATTATGTCCCAGTTACCTTACAGCGCCTCCATGAAACATACTTAGACGTAAAAGACAATATGATCGAAAGTCGTAAAAAAAACAGGGAACGTATTAATGCTAAAATACACACACAAAGCTATGAGATTGGTGACCCTGTTTATTATTATGACCCCACTACTAAGTTACATCATTCATCTAAACTAACTAATCATTGGAAGCCCTATTATCGTATTGTTGACCAATATTCGCCTGTAAATTTCAAAATCAGGCATCAGTTGTCAGGAAAATCAAAGAATGTCCATAAAGATAATATTCGTTTAGCCCATTCAAATGTTGAATGGGATCAAGAGAGAGTAAATCGTACACATATTCTGGATAAGGTTCTTCATCCTGAGTTAGACATCTCTATCAGACGTCAACCTTTCCGTTCTGCAAAAGGCGTACCCAGTAAGCAACAGGTCTTTCAACATAATTCAGACTCTTATTCGGACGATGACAATATCCCACTGGCACAGTTACGATCTAACGAGGCAAATCATACTAATGCCAATATTGATTTCTCCAACCAGTTGCACTCTCATACTGGTACTGAGGTTGAATATTCTGACGAAGAGGAATTTTATATCTAATTTATTTTGCTCACTGGGTGTTCAATATAGTTTGATCCCTTGAGGACAGGTGTTTAATAGCCTTACCAATTTATCTTGGTGATAGTTGGGTTTCTTTCATAACGTACGTTAGAAAGGAAAATAGGCAAATTAATCCTTTAGTGTATCGGATTAATTACAAACATTTTGTACCTTATCGTAAGACCAACTTGAATTTTAAAGCTTACGTACAGTATGGTATTGTATAGTTTATTTAGGATAGGTTGTTAGTTCTTAGTTAGCATGGCATAGATAGTTTTCCCTTCCACTCAGAGGATTCAGTTTTCTACCCTGGTATTGATTTTTGCCTTGAACTATATTTTCAGGCATGGATTTCAAATTAATCAGCAATTGTCAGGTGTTTTTCATTTATTATATTCCACATTTCATACGCTTCAACGTACTATTACTTTATTACATAGTCAAGTTATGGAAGCGATTCAAGGTCATTTAACAAGTGCGTTACTTTCAGATACACAATTATTTTCGGCTTTGGCAGAAGTTCAGCAGCAACTTCCAGCAACCTTGGAACTTCCCATACCTTAGTCAAGTCTGACTTACGAAAATATTACGAAATTTTACGCGTCACTTTGATTCCGGATGTTACTTCTTTTCACATTATGGTTATATTACCTTTAATTCAAAAATCTTCTATTTTTGAGTTGTACAAAATTGTGCATGTTCCGGCATATATATGTGACCGAGTACGTTGTCGTCGTGTGTACTGGTCACAGAAATAGTTCCATATTAAATAAGATACACTTTATTACACAATCAGTAAGCAGATACAGAGCAAATCAAGAAAACAAAGCTATAGTACTAGGGAACAATGGCTCAGCAGTGCTGGTTTACCTAAGACCCTTACTCTTCAATGTCTGCTTAATTCTGTCATATCACACCACCTGCACCAGAGGTCATAGGTCATGATACTATATTTAGCAACTTATTCAGGCTAATAAAATACATAGTAGAACAAGATCAAAGACAATGACATCTGCATGATGAGTGATATTCACTAGTTAAAGTGAAGGTCTAAAGCTTAGTTTAAAGGGACATTATTATGTCACTCTGTTACATATAAATCAAAATACTACGTTATCATATCAGTTATCTCATGATTTTCTAGCCATTTCTCCGGATAGGAATGTCTATATGTTGTTAAATGATCATGAAGTTTTCTTATGTAGTCAGTCCGATTTTTCATTTTGTGCTATGTCTCAACCGATCATGTCAGCAAATTTTGCTCCATCATGTCTTTCCTCCTTATTTTTGCATATTGACAGTCTAATTAAGACAACTTGTGATTTTTCAATCGTAGGACTACCGCATTCCCCTATTGTAAAAGATCTAACCAAACGGTGTTGGTTAATATTTAGTCCTACTAGATTGGCATTAGATTTGGTCTGTTTTGACCATAACAAAAATTTGTTACACAATTTGGAAATTAGCATAGGTGTTAATATAATAACTATGCCTGTTGGTTGTTCTGGGCATACGCCAGCTTTTACCCTTCCCCATTATATTCAGGAAGAGAGTAAATATTCTATTCGACAACAAAGTCAAAATCTTAATAATATCACAAAATTTTTATATAATAGAAGTACTATTAATCAAAATAGCTCCCATTCAATCCCTATGGCTTCATCCCTTTCTATTTTACCGAAGATCCGATCACAGGATAAAGACATTAAGAAGCTCCTAGGTGATATTGAACATATTAAATTTTCCAATCCAATGCTAAAAAACCCTTTCAAGGTAAAAGCACATTGGCTATATTATTTTTTTATGGCTTTAATTCTTTTAATTATTGTTTGTGTTATATTTTATTGTGTGTATAAACGATGTGGAAAATTTCGTATGGCAAGCCATATAAAGTCTAGCAGATTGAATACAGCTCGAGTAGTCTATCGTCCAGACACTCAATATTCCGCTATCAAGCCCGTCGCCAAGCAACGTCAAAAAATCCAAGCTCCCACGCCCACTGCTCCTCAATTACCACCACGGAAGTCCATATACGTAGAAGTAGATGATGATGAGCAGCCCACAACCCTATTTACAAGGACAATTGATTTAATTTCATAGTTTCTTTATGGACGTATTTTCTTCATATTTTTTATTTAGTTTTATTTTCTTTTACGTATATTATTTCAAATTCAATTTTGTTTTCTAATTGTATATATAGTTTCTTTTCAAAAAATTTAAGCTTAACGCTTAAATTTTCACCGTGAGGGCCGTACTATTGTAATCTAGTAACTAGATGTAATTGATAATTCCCTAGAACACAATACCACATTGTCCAGTGACACTAATGGTCACTCTATCTAACCTGCCACATCGGTCAGCCTTAGGCAATAGGATTAGTTCCTATTGTACAGCCTATCCTCTTTTACTGATTACGCAACTTGGACACAATGGCCATTTATCAATAGTACAAGCCAACAAAGGCCCCTGTATCCTCTGAGTGTTGATAAGGGATTATTGCCTTTTGTTTGGGTAAAGAGGGGACGGTTGGACACGTCTTTTGTCGGTAGGTGACAAAGGAGGGCTGGGTATAAAGGGGGTTAGGAATTCAGCATTCGGGACCTAGGAAGGAGACAGACGAGCCAGTAGTCGATTATACATCCAGTATTAGTGAACCTTTATAGTATAGGAAATACTCCAAGTAACTATTGTGTTCTAGGGAATCAGATTGACATTACTTTTGTTTATACCTTTATCCAGTGTATATGTATATTGCTACAACCTATATTAAAGTGCATATTGTGGAAGTGTTTAGTCTATATTCCTACGTCATAAGATAAAGGCGGAGAGCATCGGGAAAGGATCTCTCCTAGCTTACAACACCAGAAACCCCATTACAATAGTGTGGCTCAAAGGTTAATTCGCAATCGTCCCAAAACATTTGATGCTGCTTTGCGGAC